TATCATATGAAGGATATAACATCTCGTTTTGTAAGTCTTCATGATTATTGAACAAAATACAGGCAAGTGATAAGACTATAATAATACCTAATATACTAATAGTGTTACAATAATAAAAACAGCCCTGACTCCTAAGCTCGATCAAGCTTTATTCTATGCAAAATAAGTCATCACATTACTGTAATTATATTACTATTGATAATATTATTACTATTATTAGTAGTATTGCATTCTCTAATAAAGAGAGATTTACCGCTGGTTAGTAAGCTCCAGCTGGAGAACACTCACTTCTCACCGGCTCCACTTTTGCCGGGATGTTTCCTCTTGCACTCCAACATGCATGTTGTGCTTTTTCACGGGAGAAAAGCAAGTTCCGCCTTGCATGTATTGCACACGACAGCATTCTTGATTTGAAGTTTTGTGAAACTTTCCCAAACCTAAACCTTGCTAGTTCGGATTCGTTTGCACTGTCATAATTCGCGCTGTGTTTTCTTCTACCGCAATAGCATTTGTAAGGGCTGCACTACACTCTAGCGCTACAGCGCCGTAGCGGTCAAATCGCGATATTGCAGGCCCTTACATTAGGTCACGTGAGATCAAACGACTACTCGACAACAAAGATATTTGTCGACAAATTTTTATTGTCGACGTTGTCGACAACGTCGACTAATCGTTGCAGCCCTAGATCCGTGCATTATTATTAAAGTGACAGCAGCCTAATATTCCTGCTGACTGTGCTTTTGAATGTTAATCAAATGACAAAAGACAAGGAAATCACTCACTGCTCTTGACTGAATAGCTTTTGTAACTTTAATAACGATGAATCTTTATTTAATTTATACAGTGAAGATTATATGCAGTGTTAGGACCCGATCAGACAGAATGCGTTATTTGCAATGAGAGGTGCCTTTTTTAATTGTATTCTATTGGCAGTGAGTGTTTTGCGCGCTGTTTCTGCGCCCCGGGCGCCTCGCGTTTTAGCCACCCGTTGCGCCTCGCGTTTTTGTAGGAGCACTCCGAGTGCCTGAAGTTGAAAATAAAATCAACTCTGAGCAGAAAAGCACCCGACGTAATTCGTGGGGGTGTTTTTTTCCTCATTGTCCAATCAAATGAATGGAGAGGCCGGCCTTCCATTGTGGTGAAGTTTACAGATTATATGTTTGTACACACCTCACCCTCGATCAAGGTCAGAGCCAGCACTCTGCTTTTCCATTTTTTTTTATGTTTCTGCTAATATGACAGTTTACCCTACTTAACAGCAAACCAATGATTCTAGAGCGCTCGCGCTATAATCCGTGATTTGACTGACAGGATGATTTGGTGGTTGCCTAGCAACATAAAAAAAAATGCAGCGCACTGCTCTTTTTAAAATTAAAATAAGTCAGTCAAAAAAAAGGCAGTGAGGTGTGCCTCGCATTTTCAAACCTGAAAAACGCGTTCTGTCTGATTGGGCCCTTATTTTACATTTGATTGCTTTATTCGGTGTCTGTAGCTAGAAACTACTGTTAGAGACCTGAAAAGCAGGTATTTTTTTATCTTTGCTCTTGTTTTTATTTGTGCTTTTGCTTGTAGTTTGATTATTTGTTCTTATTTTCCTTATTTTTATTTGGCAGTAGTCCTTTTTCCTTAAACATAGCACATACTGAACTGTACCAAAACCGCGACCCTGAAACCGTGATAAAAACCGAACCGTGAGTAATTTGAACTGTTACACACCTAGCGCTTACCCACTCTCAAAGGACTGTTGGGTGAGACTTTTTGAAAGTCTGCCGATTGCACTACAAGCACTTCATTTGTGGTTTGACATGTTTAACAGGTAGAGTCTGCATAGCTTCTGTTAAATCAGTAATTGTTTTGGTCAACTCTCCTATTTTCAACTGTTTTCTTTGGTTGACTGTTCTCTGCTCCCTGACACTTTAAAAGGCTCAACTTAAAAAAAAAAAAACACTAGAGAACATTGACGTTTACTTAAAATACCTCCTACTTTTACTAACTTTGTATCCACAAAGTCAGCCTGTGGAAGCATGCCAAATATCTGAGAGCTGAAAAGAGATTATACCTAGACCAGAGCAGCACCCATAGTCTTGAGAAATGAGGTCATGTAAGAGACTTACCAAAGGTGTCACTGTCCCTTGAGTCTCCACCTGGCCAGGGTGGCTGGATCTGGCTCAGTCTTTAAATCCATCTGTCCCTGACTCTTCCTGTGCCTCTGCCTCACTCTCGCAGTGCCACTGCATTTAGAGTCTGAAATGCCAGGCCTTGGGCTGCATGGTCTGCAAATGGGTGCTGTTCTCAAATGAGTGTGTGTGTTTTTGTGGACCAGCGGCACTCCTGCAGTCGATGCACCACTAGCCGACCCCCTTTGGTATGCGTCAGAGCGAGCAACAGCAGCCGAGGGCCACACTGATTGATCTGACTAATCAATTGTGGACTCTGTCCACTAGAGGACAATGCCAATGTTTAAGGGGACCAACGGGAGGCACTTTATGCCATACCCTTTACGTCCACTTTATTTCTCCACACGCTAGAGAAATCATAATAGTCTACCATTCCTTTGCTTCTTTAAGTTGATGGGAACTGCCACACTATCTGTGTATTGTCCATGCAACTCATTAGATGCAACATTGCTGTTATAGGTTTGTCCCTCCCCTTTGCGACCAGGTCCCTATTTGGATCAATCTGGTGCGTGTGTTTGTGTATGTGCTTGCATTTTAGGAGTGTGTGTTCCACTTGAGGGTGAGTGGAATGGCACTGTGTACAGAATAAATATTGATACAAACGAAGCATGAGGCCGATTGATTTACCAGGGTGATGTCCGCACAGAAAGCGAGGGCTTCAGTTCAGCATTCGGCGCTCGAGGAAGAGCAGGAGCAGCAGACTGAATCATCAGCCGCGCTTGAAGACAAAAGCAGCGTTGAACACACACACCCGTAGCCTTGTGCTAAAGTGGATGCGAGGGCCAGGTGTGCTGGGACCTCTTAGGAAGAGGCGTAGGGCTATGAGCCTGATGCTGTGAGGAAGAGGAGAAAGGAGGAACAGTCTCAGCAGGGCCCATGTGTGACCGAAAAAGCTCCAGAAGGCATGGTGGGAAGCGGGAATCTCGTTCTTCAGGAGGATCGGTGGAGGGAGGAGGAGGAGCAGGAGGGGGTGGTGGTGGTGGAGCAGTGGAGGGTCCCACGCTCCTAGTGGACGGTAAGGGCACGGCTAACTTTGTGTGGGAATCGGTTATTTCCCTCTAGTCATAGCACCCGTTTGTCAGGGAAACCAGCACTAAGGCAAGGATCATATCCTGAGCCATTTATGAAATTGTAGCTGGGCTATTTTTATGTGTGGTTGATGTAATTCTTTGATTTTTCTTTTGGGTTGTTTATGTGCTGTAGCTGTTGAGGCCTGACCTTTGTTTTGAATCTGTTTCAAGCACCTCTAGTTGTTTTATTGAGTGTTGGATCAACATCGAGTTTAGGTGAACTTTGGACACTGTCCTCTCCCCTGCCTCTCTATCTTCTACTGTAGTTCCTCTACAGATTATCTAAATGAAGTTGAAATATGACCCTGGAGTGTGTGCAGTCCCATCGACCACTGTGTTTGTGAGAAAGAAAACTCCTGAATCTCTCTCAGAGATAATAAGGCAGGGGAATTGACGGGAAGTTGTGGGGTGAGGCTCTCTCTCTCACTGGTTCTGCCTGGGGCATGTGGATCGAAGATAATGGCGGTAACCTCGCTTTACGCCATCTGACTCTTTCACCACTGAGATAGATCGTTTAATGCCCCTGCTTTGGATTTAAAAGCATTGAAAGGTGAGGGTGAATCGTACAGTAGGGTCCTCAATGGCAGGAATCTCACTGCGCTGCAGTTGCAACAGTTGGATCTTCTCAGTGGCAGTGACAGCTTGCGTTTCCCAAGAGAAAGCGCTGGTCGTGTGGAATGAGGAAGAGCCTGTAATCTTAACGTTCCCACACAGCCCCATAAGAAGAGAGAAACATGCTCGAATGCATTTGTGTAACTTCATTGGTGCACTTATCAGATGTCTGACTTGGTTCTTTCTCGCTGTTTCTGAAGCAGACATTATGATTCTGTGATAATTTTTTTCACATACATGCAAGAGATATATGAAGCGAGAAAGAGTCTGTAGATATTGATTTGGGTCTGAGTTCTTGTTCTGTCATGTTGGGCTCAGGAAGTATTAGATAACATGAGCTCAGTCGATGTGGTTTTAACAACAGTGGAAATTAGAACAGGCCTTACCACAGACAGGCAATGAAAGTGATTGCCACAGGCTCTGAACACACAACAAACATGATGAAAAACAGAAGTGCCCAATACGGGGACCAAAGTTTAGAAAGCCAATTTCTATAGATGGTAGTGTAGCTTTGCTCTGAATGTTATGTGTCTTTCCACAACGTCTGTGTAAAGCTCCACAGATATGCGGAATTCCACTGATTTTATACCTTAAATCAACATTAAAACATAATGAAAAGCATGCTGGAATGCCTATTGCGGAGTAAAAATGTAAACACTGTGGTATATTTGATACACTGCTTATGTGTAAAGTACTTTAATACACTGTATTGAATATCACTTTTGAGAATAATGGGAATCATTTTATTTATCTACAGTGAAATCTGACATGTTTTCACAAGATTCACTTTGTGTACATGCAGTGTGACGTGTAGAAAAAGTAGTACTTCTCAGCAGTCTTCAGACCGCACAGCTGGCTGAAATGCTGCAAGTTACTGTCATAAATAAGGGTAGACCAGTAACTCTGGACTTTAATGTGCTTTAGAGGCTGTAAAAGGTTAATGTTGACAGCCATACTGCTATGGTCACCTCTACTGTTTTTACATGTCCTACTTGTGTTGACATTTTAATAAATTCAATAGGCAATGCCCCCTTTAGACATTTGCTTAGGGCATAAGCATGTCCCTGAGTGCAACATGGTACATGTTGATCTGTTGTGCACATAATCTCACACCATTATTTCCCCCTTTCTCCTTGTACAGTTAAGGAGTTTCTCGCTAAAGCCAAAGAAGATTTCCTAAAGAAATGGGAGAACCCAGCACAGGTCAGTTAATCCCATTTTCTGCACTGCACACACTCACTTTGTCAGCCTGTGAGCTAATGTGAGAAGGTGTGCGCCTCCTTCTGGACACAAGGTGAACTGACCAGCTGTTCGTTTGTCTTTTTAAGTCTTTAAAAGAGTTTGAGTTCACATTTTGATGTAAAGTCGTGTGCTGTATTTCATTACATTTCTGAAAGTCCTTCTTTGAAATGTAGATCTTGTTGTTGGTGAACATTCAAATGATATAACAAGTCAAATAATCAGTCACCACATTAATAATCAGTATGTGTTTGACCACACAAGAACAGTCAGGGTTAAATTTGTCTTTGTACATGCAAAATGTATTTACCTAAATTACCATCTTCTTTTCTTCTTTATTTCTCTCAATGAACAGAATACTGCATCTCTGGACCATTTTGAGAGGTTGAAGACTCTGGGCACTGGCTCGTTTGGGCGAGTCATGCTAGTCAAGCACAAAGAATCAGGCCAGCATTTTGCCATGAAGATCCTTGACAAACAGAAGGTAAGGCACTCTAACAGAAATCATCGCTAAAAGGTGTATGTGTGTGTTTACAGGTTTGGCTATACTTGTATAGTTGCCAAATGTCCTCACTTATATAGTGAAATATTATGACCAGTGTTACAAGTAACGCGAACAACATAATCGGATTGCTTTTTCAAGTAACTAGAAAAGTAACGCATTACGTTTAAATTTCCAACAAAATATCTGAGTTACTTTTTCAAATAAGTAACACAAGTTACTTTGTTTCCCTATTTATTGAATGACAGCTCTTCTGTTGAGAGAAATTGGGAGTTATTTTGCGCCGTGTGAACATGATGGTTATTGTAGTTCTAGACTAAATGTGAGCAGGCATTTACTAATCACTTTGCACTTTTACATTTGCCTAAAATATAACTTTGTTTTGTTGTCTGAAGAGGTTAAAAAAGCAAGCAAGCCCATCCCAGGTGGGAAAAAGTAGCGCTAAAGAAACGTAATGCATTACTTTCCATAAAAGTAACATAATTAGTTACTTTTTGTAGGGAGTAAAGACATACTGTGACGCATTACTTTTAAAAGTAACTTTCCCCAACACTGATTATGACAACTGACAATTTGTTGGTACTCACTAGTTAAAAAGGCTTATAAATTGGCCAAAACATGTTTGTATTCAAATCTAGTGTTCTGCACAGGTTTCAGTGATGGGTATGGTTAGGGGTTAGGGGTTGGTTTAGGCCATATATCAACATGATATAAAATCAATGGAAGTCTATGCTATGTCCTTACTAATATAGTGAAACGTGTGTGTGTGTGTGTGTGTGTGTGTGTGTGTTTGTTGAGCTAATTCTCTCCTGTCTTTCAGGTGGTTAAACTGAAACAGATAGAACACACACTGAATGAGAAACGCATCCTGCAGGCTGTCAGCTTCCCATTCCTGGTGCGATTGGAGCACTCGTTCAAGGTATTTGCTGTGTGTGTGTGTGTGTGTGTGTGAGATGACAGTTAGGATTTGGAGAAGCATGAGATAGTCAGTTAATAAGTTGCAAATAATTACATTTTCTAATAAATTTCAACTTATCAAAGAATCCTGAAAAAAATCAAGGTTTCCACAAAAATAAGCTGCACAACTGTTTTCAACATTAATAATAATCAGAAATATTTCTAGAGCATCAAATCAGCATATTAGAAAGATTTCTGAAGGAGCATGTGACACTGAAAACTAGTTTAATGATGCTGAAAATCCAGCTTTGGATCAGAATTTAATTACATTTTACAATATATTAAAATAGAAAACGATATTTCACAATATTACATGGTGAGCAGAAGAGACTTCTTTAAAAACAATCAAAAATCTTTGTGTGTGTGTATCTAAATGTTTTTGTACTTTTTCTTTTGTGTTTTCTCCACTCAGGACAATACTAACCTGTATATGGTAATGGAGTATGTTCCTGGAGGAGAGATGTTCTCCCACTTACGCAGAATCGGCCGGTTCAGGTGTGTTTTCTCTATGCATATCACACTAGCTGCATAAGATTACTCTATCCAACCGTTAATTTGGTTTATCACTACATACGTACTACTACTAATTACTACATATTGCTTTCTTTTATTATAGCTACTTGTTGTTTTCTACTGTTTTTAGTGATGTACTACAAATTGGTCCACGTCATCTTTATGATGACACTCAAAACTGCATCATATTCAAAATACTACTGGATTATCTGCAAAGTTCAAAGACTTATTGGTCAAATGTGCAGTGCTGATGGTGAAATGTGTTGCTACATTTTGCAGTAAATCTTGCGTAACTGCAGACTACATCGACTGAATCCACTGAGTTGATCCACTGTCAGTCTCAGATGGTCGAGGTTAACTTGTTAAACCTTTGTAATGTATTCAGAGTTTCTTTCTGGAGGCACTTTGTAGCAACTAAACTTAAACTGATTCTCATACCTTAATTTTTGTCGGTACAACCTTCCTCAGAAACTGCTGCGCTGACTGATGGTTTGAAATGTGTGATATTGGATATTTTACGCCAGTCTGACTAAATTTCTCTGCCAATACTAATTCCTATTAAACCCCTTAATCTATTCCCTGTTCTCTTACTTTTATTTCTTTGCTCTCAATGCCTGGTCATTTTGCTGTCCAAGATGCTTGCTGAGGATGGCAAAGATTGAATGCTGTTTTTGTTTTCGGACGTGAGTGTGATTTCGGTCGCGATTCTGGTTGAAGAGATGGAATGCGTGGAAACGGATAGATGGCATGCGTTTATAAATAGTCTATTAAGTGTGAAAATTACAGAACATTGTCATAACATAAAGTAATTGCAGTCACATTGCATTCAGTCTTTCTTTTTTTTCTTACTGGGGCTCTCCTACGTTTTCTTTGAAACGTGCCTCTGCACTTTTGCACAGAAGGTAGCTTTCATGACAAATTTGTTCAAACTTACATATAAACAGTAAACAAGCTCATCGCTAGTGTTTTTATTACTAACTAACGAACTGTGAATATTGCCTGAGGTAAATACAACTTTAGGTGACATTGTTCACAAGCTGTTTTAATGACGTCTTTCTGCGGTTTAAATGCTGATTGAGAGACTACATGAGATCAGATACATTTCAGTAAGTTGTACTGTATCTTTCCAGATACCTTTTGATGTTCATGCATGTTTTTTCATGCTGTAACTTGTATTAAAGTGTATTGAACTGAGTCGCTATAGTGATCTGTCACGTCTTCATTTAAGAGCGTCAAAACGCCATTTATTGTTCGGATTTCGTGATAAAATGGCCAGAATTTGAAAGCTGAGACTTTGTTTGTTATCACAAGTAACAAAACACAAAGCTCTTTGTGATTATTGGATAGGAAGTGTGATAAATATATTTTGGTGTACGGAAAACCGCAGACCTGGCAACCCTGGATCGAACTATGGATGATTCATAGGGTCAAAAAGAGCCTGATTTAACGTTGCTGTTTTTAAACCGTTAATACGTTATTGTCGTGTTAACTTTGACAGCCCTAAATTCAACACGAGAGATTTTATACACACAGTGTGAGTCGCAGCTTTTTCCGCCCTCTTGGATATAATCAGCCCTGATCATCGGCTGTTTTTATCAGTAGAAATAATTATAGTGTTTTAATAGTAAATAATAGTGGCCAATAGTGAAAATAATTGCATTTATCAGCTGATATCGGTTATTAGCTAATACATCAGTGCATCCCTACTATTATTATTATTATTATTATTATTATAGAATAACTTGTCATTGTGACTGCAGCATGCAAGTGGATTCTTTTGCGTACTGCCAATTTTTCTGGCTAATTTTTTTTTTTTTTTTGGTGCACATCCATTAAAAAGCTTGCAGTTAAAAGATCTATCTTGATAGTTTTCTGTCTAAGTACATTGTTCTCGACCAGAAAACGTTGATAGTCAAAAGACATAGATAGATTGTATATTATCCTCATATTTGAATCATGAGCACAAGTAATTGCTGCCTGACATGTTGGTTGTGTCTGCTGAATATATGGCGTTAACCAGGCACACAACGTATCATATTATAGCTGTATATTACTGTTATTTTTCAAAAAGAACAAAAACAACGTGCAGTCCAGGTAATGAAATATTTTAGGGTAGTTGACATGACGTGTCAAACAGTGGCAACGGTGTCCTGACACGCTGTTTGCCCCGTTTCATCTGAAAACCATTCAAAATGATGTTTTTCACCTTTTTGAATAGTTACTATGCGTGCAGGTCCCATGACCTCTGTTTGTTTACGTTGTGTCTGTCTGTCTCTGTCCGGTGCAGTGAGCCTCATGCCCGATTCTACGCTGCCCAGATAGTTCTGACCTTTGAATACCTTCACTCGCTTGATCTTATCTACCGAGATCTGAAGCCTGAAAACCTGCTCATAGACCAGCAGGGATACATACAGGTAAACATGCAGATGGCTTTATGTAATGATAGCAACTACAAGACTGCAAACATGCAGGTTCTTTTTTAATGTTGGATTCTGTTCATATACTATTTTTATGGTCATTCTTCTTGCTTTTTCCCCTCAGGTAACAGATTTTGGTTTTGCTAAACGTGTAAAGGGCAGGACCTGGACACTGTGCGGCACGCCCGAGTACCTGGCGCCAGAAATCATCCTCAGTAAAGTTAGTGACAAAGCTGCTTTACTTGTTGATCATTGGCTAGTCCATTCCAGCATAACCTTGCCTCCTCTTGCTCTCTCTGTCTCTTAGGGTTATAATAAGGCAGTGGACTGGTGGGCTCTGGGAGTGCTGATCTACGAGATGGCTGCTGGTTACCCTCCGTTCTTTGCTGACCAGCCCATTCAGATCTACGAGAAGATTGTCTCTGGGAAGGTGAGCACAGAATATTAGGATTTCATTCACTGTGCACTGCACTAGGGTTTCATGAAAAACAAACCAGAATTGTATGTATTATTTAAAGGGGTCATCGGATGCCCATTTTCCACAAGTTCGTATGATTCTTTAGGGTCTTCGTGTAAAGTTTGTAACATACTTTGGTTAAAATTCCTAAATGGTTGTGTAAAACAACACCCTTTTTACCTCCTCAAAAACAGCTCTGTTCACAGCGACCCGTTTCGGTGCATGTCTCTTTAAATGATAATGAGCAAAAAAAAATCCCAAGAAATCCCCAAAAAGTGTCCATGTACTATCTTCCCTGAGATTTATATCTCCGGACCGGAACTCTGTTTGTCTGATGACAGTCAGAAGGTGTATAATCTTCTGGAAGACCCAAGGCCCCGAAATAACAAACAAAACAGTATTTGCAGTGGATCAAGACCTTTTATCAAAGTTATACATGGATTTTGAACAATACCCTTTCTGAAACTGTGTCATCTAGGTTTTTTGTCAACAGTTTCCATTGGTTTTATGGTTTGAGTGTGAGATATGCTGCGCTCTAAATTTAAGTAGTCAGTCACTGTCAGTTAATTAGGATTTGACAGATAAACTGACATGTTGCTTTGACTCGTTTATTAAATATCATTTGTGTCAATTGTGATAAGACTGTCTGGTGTTTCGGAAGTCAATGCGTCATGAATCCCAAGCACTGACGGTGTGTCTCGATCTCCCTGTAGGTCCGCTTCCCCTCGCATTTTAGCTCTGACCTGAAGGACCTGCTGAGGAACCTGCTGCAGGTAGATCTCACGAAGCGCTTCGGGAACCTCAAGAACGGCGTCAACGACATCAAGGGCCACAAGTGGTTTGCAACCACCGACTGGATCGCAATCTACCAGAAGAAGGTACCTGAATCAGACTGGGTTCTTTCAATGTTCTCACCTTTTCCTCAATCTTTAAAGCTGAAGTCGGCAAGTCTGGCAGATTGAGTGGATTTACACAATTTTGAATGTTTACAACTCTCATGGCCCTCCCCCACTATCAACTAATACCCTCCCACCGTGACCGAGTTCATGCTCGTCAGTGCGTGTGCACCAGATTTTCAGTGAACCCGCCCGTCTCATCAGCATCCATCAACACCATGGGTTATTTGGATGTATGCTGTCCTGGCTAATCTACCAATAGATTGCAATTGCTAACGTCATACTCTAAATGAGCTTACTTGATTTTCCGCCATCACTCTTCGTTACTGCGCGAACTTCCGCGAACTTCAGGCGTGTGCATGTGATTGTAACGTGCGTGAGGGGTGGCGTGTGCCCGATCTGTGATTGACAGTCAGATCTCACACCCCCCTGCGCTGATTGGACCCGATGAACCGGGAGCTGTGGATTTTTGCAAAACAAATAACACGCTCCAGGTGGAGTTAGAAGCTCGGGTTTTTTTCTAAAACCACTTTATTTATGTTGTTCTGTCGGATTATAGTGTCGATTTCACTGAATATGATAAAAAAAATGTTGCCGACGGCAGCTTTAAGTCAACCCGATATCAAAATTGGTCCCATTTTGTGAACAATCATCAGTACATGTGGATGCTGCACACTGGTGGTGGTTGAGGAGAGATGATTGTAAAGTGCTTTTGGTGTACAGTAGCATCACTGGAACTGGGAATGATTTTAGTTCTAGGAACGCCTTTTGTGGGGACTGAATTAGGTCCTACTTTAGAATAGTGTCTAACCCAGCACAATTGGAACTACCAGTGACGTAATTGTATGCCAATTGGCTGAACGCATGCGAAAATAGTTAAAAAGCTGTGCAAACACCGAGTTTATAGCCTATATATTTACTCCACGAACATAGAAAACAGCGATAGATAGACCGACGCCGAAGTCCAGACACTAGTCAACCTTTATGTTAAGGAGGAAATCCAACGTGACTTTGAAGGGACCAAGCGAAGCATGATTATGTATTTCTGCTCTGCTAGCGACATTGGCCATCAATCACATGGCGAACGCTATACTTTTACTTGGGGATGCACCGATACCAGTACTCGGTGTCGGTCCAATAATGTGCTCATGTACTCGTAAAATTACCCCGATGCAACCGCACCCCATAACACTTTAAAGGGATAGTTCGGCCAAAAATGATATTTAACACATGCATTACTCACCCTCAAGTAGGCCTATCGACGATCGACGCGCGTTCACGGGTGATGGAAGTCGGCGTACGAGGTATGACGTAGCGTAGGAACCGTCGTGACGTAGACGTTGTTTTGCTCTGCTCTCTGGCTGCGCAGGCGCGTTCGTTCTACGTCACGACGGTTCCTACGCTACTTCCATCACCCGTGAACGCGCGTCGATCGTTGCCGGAAGTCAGATATTTTCATTTATAAAGTTTTAAATATGTATATTTTTACGACAAAACCGCACGGATTACCCTCAGAAGGCCTTCGTTTATCCCCCTGGAGCCGGATGGATTACTTTTGTGAAGGATGTATGCACATTTTGGGACTTGAAGGAGGTGGACCCCATTGCTTCACATTATATCCACTGAAGGGTCTAAGACATTTTCTAAAATAACTGAAAATGTGTTTGTCTGAAACAAGATTGACATATGCATCTCGAACGGCTTGAGGGTGAGTAATGCATGTGTTAAATATCATTTTTGGCCGAACTATCCCTTTAAGGGGCCGCTCACATATTGCGTCTAAAAACGTGTGGAGAGCGCGGCCGCACTGTTTCTGTAAAATGTTTCTCCTTCTTTCAACAAGCACTTGCGCTCCCGTGGTGTCTGTCATTGCTATGCAACCATGAACATAGCGCGCCGGGAAAAACGAGCGAAAAATAGAATCGCTTCTATTATGAGCGGGCTTGCCGCGCGCCTACATTTGAAATGACGAATGTGAACTGCAACGGCCCCTTATGGCAACGAGACATTAGCCTAACCTCTCGTCAGTTGATTAGATAGTCGGAGGAGGAGTAATGTCAGCCGTTTGGAGATATTTTAAGATAAGCGATGATGACTGCAAACCAGGGGCGTTGCTAGACATTAAGCTCTACTGGGGCACAGGCCCCATTGTTTGTCTAAGATAGCAAGCGTAACTAAGGAGGGCGGGGCTTACCGATAGATAAATTAAATTTGTTTGTTTCAAAAACACTATGCTGGGTAGAGTAACTTAGGGGGGTTGGGGGACATGCTCCCCCGAGAAAATTTGGATTTCTCGGACCTACATATGTGCATTTTAAGGTGTTTGAATGCCAACAAATTGGATAACAATAGCTTTAAAATCATGTTACACGAATTTCTATTTTTTTGTGCCATAAAAGGCAACACTGTATGAAAATAGAAAACTTTAGAAAATAGAAAAGGTAGAGAAAACTTTCTTGCACATTTGCATTCTTCTACATTACACAATGTTAACAATGAATAATTAGCCTTTATATTTTTCAAGAATTTACAATTACATCATTTCAATAAATCAATAAAGAGTTAATATATAGGCCTACTATATAAAATAAAGAGCATGTATATTCTAAAAGAAAACAAAGTTCCCCAGCAAAGTCCAAACTAAGTTGATTTATTTGTTGAGCATTAGAACTGTAGGCGACCGCCTATGCTTCATTTTGGCAAAACGGTCAATCACTTGACTCTGACTCAATTTTACTTTTAAGAGTATTTGTATTATTTAGAAACGTTTGTTTCGTCATGTTTTCATAGCCTACCTCGCGTGCCAACACCGGACTTCAGTGTGCTCAGATGTGTGCGCGCTGCTGTTGCTAGGAAACACAGACGCGCGCGGATTTCTGTCGCGTGGGTCAGCTTCTGTTTCGGTTAAACTGCGTTGCTTTTACAAGCATTGATTGGTTTATTACTGCGTTGCAAATAGATCATTTCTATTACCCTATAATATAATTTATATTAAATACACTGACAAATAAAATAAATTGTTAAACTCAAACTTCAGATTTACTGGGGCACAGCACGTGCACGTGCCCCAGTAAAATGGGTCTAGCAACGCCCCTGCTGCAAACTATGCTCTGCTAAATTGTCAAGAGGAGGGGTGAGAAATAGCTCCTTTAACACAAGCAATTTGATTATACAAGTTGTAATTACTTTCTTTCAGTCAGAAAGTGAAAAACATCTGATGAAAATAGAACATTGTTAGAAGAACTGTATGGTATTATTTAGTACTCATATTGGTACTTGGTATCGGCAAGTACCCAAATGTAAGTACTTGTACTTGTACTTGGTCTGAAAAAAGGGGTATCGGTGCGTCCCTACTTTTACTTTATACTTAATACTTTTTCGTTTATGGCTTGCGTCTCATTTCAAAGTTCCAATTGGTGGTGCGTAGGGCTGTCACGATTAAGAAATTTGACTGCCGATTAATTGTCTGAAAAATAAATATGATTTATGCCGATTAATTGTCTGTTTTAAGGCTCTGGCTATTATGCAGATTAATTATAGGGCTTTGTCATACATTTTTTGTGTGCTTTGTTCATTAAATAATTGTTAAGAATTAAATTATTTTGTAAGTTATCATTTTGCAGTGTAAAATTACTATTAACACCTTTAGAGAGAGAGAGGAAGAGAGAGAACAATGTAGGCTTTTAATAATCTTTCAGTGGTCAAAACCACGATAACATGAAACGCTTCAAAACAGAGCAGCACACACTCCTTATGCGCATCGCGGGTGCAGAATAATGCGCTTAAATCAACATGCAGTCACAGCGCTACGCATTGAAAAGTTCACGGCACAAAGAGAAGAGATGTTGAGCGCACAAAATCCTTGTGTATATCTATCCAACAGTTTATTGATCTTTTGTTTCTTCACTGTTTTAAATTCCAGTTATTGTGTGTGTATGTGTGTGTGATGCCAATCAATAGTCCTTATGTTGTGTGATTTAACAGACACCCAGTTGCGATTACAATATCGTTTAGAAACAGCGATAAACTCCAGCAAGATAAAGACATTTTATGCAAATCCACAGTAGAAAACGCTCCCACTCCACTCCCATCTGCACTTTTTTTTAGAATTGCGCTCTCTCTAATTTGCCCTGATTATTAAATCTGGCCCCAAGTATTATAATGGGAATATATTATATTAAAAAGAGTCTCTTTTTGATTTATTGACAGCCGCAGCGAAGGGAAGACGAGTTTCCGTAAACTTTAATTCAACGATGTAAATATTCTTCTGCCCCTCACATTAAGCTATGGATGGTCTTTAGATGACTTTGAATATAGTGCAGAAAACTTAACTGGTGCTTGTCTATGACTCCCCCTTGTGCCGTATAAAAGAGCGTTACATCAAGTTTGTACCATACAACTGCTCTCCAGTGTGTTCATGTTTTCACTCGCGTCTGACCTCGATGGACTTGAGCACAAGAAATGAACCGGAGAACATTTCCATGTCAATTAAAGTGGAGCCTCAAAGCCACACCCACCTAATCTCCACGGACCAATGGAAAGGGTTTAACAGCCGGAGCGAACTTTTCCGGAAAGTTTTGAACTCCCAAGATGAACTTCGTTTTGGCCTTATGAATAACGTTCGTTCTTCGTGTTCGCTTGAAGAATATCGGGGCCTTTGTTAATATTTAATCAAAATGTAATAACCTTTTCCGCTGACTCATCTGTGTATATTTGTGTCTGTTTTCAGGTGGAGGCCCCCTTCATCCCTAAGTGCAAAGGCCCCGGGGACACCAGCAACTTTGACGACTACGAGGAGGAAGAAATCCGGGTGTCTATCACAGAGAAATGTGGAAAGGAGTTTGCTGAATTCTAGAAGCAGCAGGAGTGGAGGAGAGGGATGGAGAGAAATTAGATGTGGGGCAACAGTGAGAAGAAAACGTTTTCCAGGGTGAGATGATGAACTGGACTGAGCCTGTATCTGGTAACAACAACAACGACAACAACAACGTAGAGCCCTCACACACGGATGGAGGGAGAAGAAGATCAGAAAGTCCTGAGAGAGACGCCAGCAGTGTTGCCTTTTCAGATCCTTCGTCACTTGTTACTTGTCCATTTTCATGTTTTCCCTCTTGTTTGGTAGCCAGGGTCCATTGGGCAGAGATTCAGTCACTTCTCTGTGACTGGCTGGCATGGGGATATTTGTGACTTCTTCTTTCTTTTTTGTTTCTTTTTCTTTTTTCAGAGATATAGAGGTTACTTTCTGGTACTGAATTTTGGCTTCTCCAGAGAAAATTACCCCCCTTTTTTTTATCAGCAAAGGTGTCCTTGCTCTGTAGTTCTCCACTCTGTCACATCTTGTTTACTTCCTGTGCACCTATTGGCACCCAATACCAAATCAATCCCACTTACTCCGTTCAAGAGTTCTGGCTTTTTGTTTTAGATATCACACATTTGCCATTTTGAATTTCAAGCATCGCGCCACCATCCTTCAAATTTATCATCACATATTGGTTGGGTACAATTTCCCACAGTGCTCTAAGATCAGGCAGAATCAGCCACTTGGTATGAAGATCGTTGATTTGGATCATCATTCTCTAGATCATGTTATGGCGTTCAACGTGTCCTAAAAGCCCAGCTTGTCATACGAATAGAACTTGTTGGCTTCAAAATGGCCACCGATAAGACCGTAACACTACTTTATGTAACATGAACAAGCATACTTAAAGCTCCAAATCCATGATTTTACACTTTTTCTTAAATGGCTTTGATTCAAAGATGAATTTTCCAGGAGTAAATCAACAGGAAATGGGAAAGTGAAGGAATGCAGTGAATTGGCCGAGCACAAATGCTCCTTGTTTTTAGAATGATGCTTTTAAAGGAAAACGTTCAAGTTTTCTGTGGTTCCACCCGGTTCCTGGATAATGTTTTTTCGTTATTATTCGTTTCTGCCGTGTCACCTGCCAGTGACCAAACCCTTTCTGGCATTTCTCTTTTTTTTTTATCCTTACAGAAGACGGATATTCATTACGTTTTAACTCTCTACGGCTTCACGAATCAATCTCTATTTCTGCTTCAAATAAGCTTGTTGTTCGTGTAGACTTTATCGTGCATTATTAAGACCAGTTAGTGAAGCTCCATTCGGCCTTTTGAAATATCGTCCAACGAATTGATCAACTTTCTCTCTTGCTCTTTAACTCTAGGATGCAAGAGAATCTAAATGCAAACGCATAATTGTTTTGTTGTTTAGTTTGCAGAAGCGTGCAATAGTGCGTAGTGTGTTGCAAAGATTTTATTTCGTTATGCTCGGAAAGCTTCTCGTCAATGAAGATTTAATTAGATGTTAAAGGTGAAGTGCGCCACTAGTGGCACCAAACTGAACTGCAGTCTGTTGAGTAACCAAATGAAAAGGACATAATATATTAGCTTGAATGGATTGATAAGTCGTTATTTTTGCGTTTTTTTGTTTGCTGCCTCTAGTGGCACAAAATGTACTCGCTTCACATTTAAATGTGAGACGCCAATTATCGCTTGTTCTTCAGGAGTCGTCTGCTCATTAGGTGCTCCTCTTTCTCATGCAATTTTTTTTTTGGTTTGTTTTTTTTTTTTTTTATGATGAGAGTAGTGTAACTTAATTTTGCTGAATGTTACAGATCGGTGCCAGGTTAAAATGGTATTTCAAGCAACTCTCCGTGTGTCTTTTAATAATGGTAGCATCAATTGGACACTACAGGATGATGCCATTGATTTTACAGTATAAGATCAAATACCTGTTCATTTGCATTTCCCGCTCAGGAAATGATGTCACTGTAAGCTGCCAGGTGCACCGCCAAAACGGACCGGATTGGGTCCGTTTTTGATCATTCATACTTTTAGAAACGGAGACAAGTAAAAGGCAGATGTTTGTATTTCACACAACATTTGGATAGGTTTAGATTTCCTCTTCCTCACTCTTTTCCCTGCATGCCTAGCTATTGCTGGGACATTTACTCGCCCCATTTCTGGAGACTTCATAAAATGGGTGTACAAACAGGACAAACGGCTCCACCTTTTGGGTTTCAATAGCTGAAAAACAAAACAATCAGTGTTCAAATGATGCTTCTGTACATTTCGATTTGCCAGCAGGCTCTTCTGCACTGGTTTTGTGATGTTAGAAGCAACGTAAGACTATCTTTAACTGGTGCACTGAGTTCTAATGTACAGGTTGGCTTTCTTATTAGCTTTATCCTCGACTTTGAGCTTGATCGTGATATGGAAGGCTTCTGTTTTAAGCAACAGCGGTTTAAATCGGTGAAATTATGGCTCACCTTTTTTTTTTTTTTTTGTCAGAGCATGACATTCTTGGTGGTATTCATGTCATCCCTCCATGTCTGCCTGATTCTTGGGGCCCTGTCCCTCCCTTTCAAATACATGGGTGTCACACATCCTCCAGTCTCTCACTCATCTGTTCATTTACATTGTCAATCATGTGTGTGTGTGTGTGTGTGTGTGTGTGTGTGCGTGTGTGTGCGTGCGTGCATCAGTCCATGATACAGTTTGCCTTTCTACACATCCAGTTTCCTACACTCTTCTATTTGCTTTTTAAAAAAAGAAATCATGAAGAAAACATTTGATTTACTTTTGCATATTTTCTAAGTGTATTTTCAATAACAGGAGTCTCTTTCCTCCCGACATGGGTATGGTGATGGTGTAGTCTATTGTACCTTTTTCGGGAAACAATACTGTATATTCTCTGCCTTTAACAGTCTTAATTATTTTACCTTCTGGAGAAGTTGACGGATACCCGTAGGACACATCGAGTATGTTTAAAAATAAAAAATACACAGAATAATATTTTGCAACATGTATCATTCCAATAAAGTTTTAATTGTTAAAATTACAATGATGTGGTGCCGTCTGAAATGTTATTTTTCTGAAATTTGTCCATAAGTTTATATTTATCAGTTAGATTCAAGACTGCATCATATTTTATCATAGCAAATGTTTTACCATCTGTATGTGTAGCAAGAATTGGATTGTATTTCCCCCCTTTAGATTCATCAGTGTTGGCATGACATCATTTTCTTGCAAGTCTAGTCATTAGTCACATGACATTTTGTCTCAAAATGAGCTGGCAGCAGAGCTGAGCGCCCATGAGCAAAAATGGCGGATCACTTATGAATTTCAGGTGTTCTTGTACCAGACTAGCAAGCTCCCAGATGCATGGAAATGCAGACAGCTTTCTGCAGGAAATATGAATCTCCTTGAGATGCAACGGAGCACAATGCTCTATCCCACAATGCAATGCACATTACTTGACCTTCCATTTCTAGTGTCATCAATAACCTGGAATTTCAAATCCAATCTTCTCTAATTGATTTGGATTTCCAAAATTTGAAGATGTTTAACTCATAAAAAGCAACTTTTTAAATTATTCAATGAAACTGCCAAACGATTCTGGGATTATATTTATGTTTGTTGCCTGATTAAATGTCAGTGTGAAACAGAACTTGCAATATAGTCTTTTCTCCCCAATTGTGGCGTATGAAAAGGACTGTGGAAGGAGAAAAAAACGTTTGGTTTTGTTTATGGGGAATTAATTGGATGACTGCTTTGCTATTGGTGGATCTCATGTGAGTGACAGGTTGCCCCGCCCTCACAACAGTAAACACGTCATCAGAGAAGAGATGTCGCTGCAAGAGGGAGGGGAAGTTATTAAAGATTTTGAGGACACATGAATAAGACAAAAATAATGATGTGCATGGATAAATCATATATGATAAATGCAACATTCCAGAAAAAAATAAGAATTGTCCTTTTTGATTCAATGGTGACTTTAAACATGAAGCACAAAGCTCATCTGACAACAATGTAGCATAAGACTGTTTGAAATCTTTATTGTTGCAAAATGCCTTGTTTTGCTAACTTTAAGTATATAGCTAGTTGTTTTATTGGATTGCTAAACGTTAACAGATTTTTACTGAATAACATTTAAAATTCCAACGTTTTTTTTATTTTTATTTCTGAGATAACTGATTTAATTAAACAAGGAATGAGAAAATAAAACGGGTTTTTACCTACGAATAATGCGGACTTCGCGTATTATTAGCAAAACATGCAACATGCTGATGCTAGTCGCATTCCAAAACAGAACTTTATGCTGCACGTAGAACAACAGAACAGAACAAATCCTCCTTAAATCTCCTAGTGGCGGGACCCGCATCTCGCGCATTCCACCTTAAGCGCTCAATGTGATCAACGCACGCGTACAGTATGTTTCCGTTTTTTTTCTTTTTCTCCAGCGCGCTCGCGCCGCGACTCGAAAGACTGCGAGCGTCACGTCGAAGGCAACACTGACGCACTTCATCCACTCTATCAAGCTTGAAGCCCATTAGGAATAATGTCTAAGCCGTACCGAGAATGGATCCTGGGCTCCATAGACTCGCTGCGGTCGAGAAAAGCGCGACCGGACCTGGACAGAATTTGCAGAATGGTTAAAAGACGATACGGCTCGGACTGGGACCGAACCCGTTCAGAACTAGAGAAACTGATAGAGGAGCAAACGGTGCTGAAAGTCAACTATAAAGGCTCGGTGTCCTATCGCAACGCGGCAAAGGTGCTAAGAGGCAGGAGAAAAACCGAGCAGAGCAAGTGTGCGGTGAAACAGCCTTCTCTCGCGGACTGGAGCGCCGGCGACAGCGCTCTGGGTCCCGTGGATGAGGATCACATGGAGGATATGGAAGTAAGTAAACCTTAACCGAGCGCTGGCGCACTGAAAAGAGCGGCTGCGCTCCGACTAAAACCACACGCGCAATGGCAAGCATTAGTGTTTTATCACTAGTTTAACTGTTCTGGCGCATGAAACATGAAAGCAAGTGCACGCACAAACACACACACGCGCGCGCGGACTGGCGCAGACGGGGAGCGGCACGAACCTTCATGAGCGTCGGAAAATCGCCAACAATGGAAGCGCTTGATCTGATTCTGCGAGGTCGAGATCTTTCGGAGCGAGTTTTTGTTCGAGCGCAGACAGTCCCATAACTCAACTTTAGCGATAAAATCATTGTCCGTTGATCCAAACTAGCGGGGGAAAGTCACCAAAACATCACTGATCAGCCGACTGACGCA